GCATTTTTTCTTTTTTGTCGACGTTTCATGACCCCTAGAGTACGAAAAAGTAGGTCCCGCGTTTCCGTCTGTCTGTGTCAATTTTTATTAGGCAAATAATGTCCGAAATATTGGACCCATTGTTGTCAGATTTTACATATAGTTTTTGCAAACTAGCACGGGACAGGAAGATCATACAAATTAAGCAACAAAGACGACCCTAATCGGATTACAGCGTACCGAAATTTATGACACGTTGACGTTTTTATTGTTGCTTAATTTTTATGATCATCCCTGTAACCTTAACTATACAGGGTGTTCTTCATGAAACATCCTATATAATTTTACATATTTTGATTAATCTCTTTTTAGGCTTTACAAACACAGTTCACGGATGCGACGTTGTCACGTTATTTATGCATTATTTTAAATTCTTTGGCAATGAAAAGGTTAACAAAAAAAAGGTACGCACTTTTATTATTGTGGTCTCAATTAAATCAAAATTTTTATCTGCAATGGTTGTAAAAAATTCAAAAAGTATCAATTTTTAAATACTGATAAGTCAGTTTTTTCAACTGTGTTTTACTCTATTTTTTGTCCCCATTCTTCTCATATGTTGATGTGTCTCTTAAAAAAGTAAAAAATTGCACAGTAACTATCAACTTCCAATATAGAAAATACACATCAAAGAAAAAAAGAGAACAAAAAAGTGAATAAAATGCAATAATAAAATATAGGGCGTTCTATTTGAAAAAACTGAAATATGGATATTTAAAAACTATATTTGTTTTTATTTGATTTTTCGAATTCCGAATTTTTCGTTTTTTCGATTGTTCGATTTTTCGGTTTTTTAATGTTTCAATTTTTCGAGTTCTGGAATTCTAGTTCTCGCGATTTCTTAATTTTTTTTCAATTTTTCGATTTTACTATATATTTTGATTCTTTGATTTTTAGACTTTTAATTTTGATTATTTAATGTCTCTAATTCGATTGTATGATTTTTCGACACTTCGATCTTTCGATTATTCAATTTTTCCAGTTCTCAATTTTTGATTTTTCATTTTTTATCGATTATCAAGTTCTCTTTTTTTGATTTCTCAATTTATGAATTCTCAATTTCTCGATTTCTCAATTTCTCAATTTTTTGGTTTTCATTTTTCCATTTTCGGGTTCTCGATTTCTCCTTATTTTTTGAATCTGCATTTTTCAATTTTTCGATTTCTTCATTATCAATTTCTCGATTTCTTAATTTTTCGAATTTTTATTTTGATTTTTCGATTTTTCTTATTCACAATTTTTCGATTTTTGAATGTTTGCATTTTTCGGTTCTTCGATTTTTCATTTCATCGATTTTTCGATTTTTGGAATTTTTTCATTTCTCGAGTCTCAGTATCTCAATTTCTCCATTTTCTGATTTCATTGTTCGAATTTCTGGTGTTCGATATTTCGATTTTTTTGCGGTTTTTCGATTTTTCATGTTGCTTTTTCAATTTTTCAAATTCTCAATTTTTCGTTTTTTTGATTGTATGATTTTCCGATTCTTCAGTTTTTTGAATTTTCATATTTCGATTATTCGATTTTTGGTTTTTATCGATTGTTCGTTTTCTCAATTTTTGATTTTTCAATTTCTCTATTTTTTGATTGTCATTTTTTCGATTTCCAAGTTCTCATAATTAAAACATTTTTATAAACAGTCAGTACATAAAAATTTAATCTCATTTATACCACAACAAAGCACGTAGATTTCTGTATCTCACCACAAAATGTTGCATAGATTTCAAGAAATTTAGTATATACTTAAAAATAATTTTAAGTATAGTCTTCAAAGAACCGTACAAATTTGGTGTGTCATTTTTTTTATTTCTAAGACCTAATATGATAGGGAGGAACGCGCGCTTAGTAACTCACCCTGTATATTCTATGGGAATAGCGATTTACCGCTAACCAAAATTTATCTAATCTTCCCCACCAAGACCAGGATGACGTCATCTTCAAATTTACAATATTAAATATTATTTAAATTTCATAGAATAATTAACTCCTGCATGTGTGATTAAGAATCCGTGTTGAGTTATGATCTTAGCCATCTAGATTTTTGAGAAAAAACTAAAAATATGTAACTTTTGGATCTGCATTTTTTTGAATTCCAAATTTAAAATTTTTGAAGTTTCCGTTTTTTTTTAATTTTCGATTTTTCGTTTCGTCCCCTTTTCTATTTGTTATTTCAAAATTTTGTTTCCAATTTGTCAATTATTTCATTTTAGATTTTTTAACTTTTGAATTTTTCATTTTTTTCATCTGTTAATTTTTCTATTTCCGATTTTTAATTTTTTTTCTACAATATTTATTCGATTTGCATTTTTTTGAGTTTCCAGTTTTAAATTTTTCGTTAATTCAACTTTTAGATTTGCAGTTTCTAGATTCCATAATTTTACTATTTTTTAATTTTCCGGTTTTTTTGATTTGCAATTTTTTAAAATTTTGAGATTTCCGTTTTAAATTTGCGAATTTTTGATTTTTCAAATTTTCATTTCTTCACCTTGTCTATTTGCACTTTCAGAGTTTCATAAATGTTTAAATTTTCCTGTTATTCCATTTTTCGATTAGCAATTTTTTTTTCTTTTTACATATTTTGATTTGTTTGTTTTTTCAATTTCTACTCACTTAAAACAATATTTGGAATGTGCTCCATTACAACTTAATTAATTACTCCTCTCGTGTGTTCATCAATCAAGTTTCATCTTCTTTTAACACAAATGCATACTTTGATCTGCTGCTGTTTGTTTTCTGAACGTGTCGGGTCGAATTCGTTCGAAGTATAAACATAAACAGTCAAAGTTACGCACGTAAATACTGAGAATACATTTTTTCCACATTTCATATTGTGCACACTTGGGCGGCACGAGTTCCCTTGGAATTTACACTACTAGTTTGCTATTATTATAGAGGTTATCACAAAAACAAAACCCGCAAAATCAAATTTTATAACAATTTTTCAAAAAAGCAGGATTTGTTGGATTCTACAGTGACAACAACAAAAATCATCGTAGAAATGTGGTAATAAAAAATGCGGAAGATTTATGATTAGATCTACATCGAGGAAACTAGCGATTTTCAAACTCAAAAAATCGAAAATAATTATTTCTGGAATACTCATGCCAGAAATTAATAAAGGAGAAAATTTCTTTTTACATTTTTTACTGCCCGAACGCAAGTTGCTTTTGACGAACGACTAATTTCATCTTTTTTTGACGTTTCGCAACTCCTAGAATATGAAAAAATAGATCTCCCATTTCCATCTTCAAAACTACCTGACAGACCGTTGGAAAATTTTAAATATATTTTAGACACATCGTGTGAAAGTGGTGAAACGTTAACCAAAATTTATCGGTTCATCCCCATCAAAAATGTGATCACGTCATCTAAAAAAATTTGCATGTTGCTGTACACTGAAAGTTCAATAATCTACCTATATTTATTTACGTATTATTGTGTTTATGTAAGAAATGTAAAAAGTGTGTCAATTTATTCAAACTATGAAAACTGGCCACCAAAATCGAAAGGTCGGGGCAGTTGCTACTCGTAACAGAATGGCAACTACATTAGTCACATCCGACCTTTTTTGTTGCAAAATTTATCAAAAAATGATCCTGAATATTTTTTCCTTATTAATAAATACATATAGTTATATCACTTTAAGATTCAAACAGAACCATCAACTACAAATACAATAGTAGACCTAAAACTTCACCAACTTTTAATATAGCTTTTAGAATATCTTATCTTCGGACCCTTCACACCCTATTATCCATCCCTTAATCTCTGCGGCTGTGGGACGAGTCGGTAAACCGTCATTCATTTCTGACACAACTCCCACAAATAGCAATAACAAAACCCCTTGTCTACGGCACGCGCCACTTTTACAACAACATTGACACTTTTTGTAACCGAATCTTATTTCATGACCTTTTCAAGGAATGCGGCAGCAAAGTCATGAATGGAATAAGATCCGGGCGGTAAGGTCCACAAAAACCGTCGCACTCGTCAAAGCAGGCGGCGCGTGTCAAAACAAAGACAATTTTCCTATTGGCCGATACACTGTCCGGTAGCAGCGCGTGGAAATCGACCTTTACAACCACCTGCCCAAACTCCACCTGTTCTAAATCTTGTAAATCACGAAAATGAAAAATTAGTAACGCTGTTAAGTGAAATGTTGAGTCACTAATTGCATAAGGGAATTCTAGTCTACAAAAAAAAACCAAACAAACAGAAAATATTTGTTGATTGTCAAAAACTCGACACTTATGACAGTGGCATAAAGCGTTTTTATCACGTGACACTTGGCCACTTTTTCTAAAACGCGTAAAGCCCCAATTAGCCGTAAGTGTCACGTTTGCGGTGTTCCGTGGTCCACGAGAGCCCGTCGTTTGAGGTTAGAAACCAATAAATCGTTCGAATACAGACGAAAAAGTTATTATTGACCTAGGATGAACTGCATCTGGTTAGCCTTGTTTAGGTCATCAACCGGCACTTGTCCATTCATCCCAGTCGACTAGATTTCCGAAAAAAAGCACACCGATGATGACAAATGACAGCCGGTAGCCGTAATTATTATAAATTGATAGGAACGACTTCGGTCACGAATGTAATAAAACCAAATTAAGTGAAGAAGGGGATCGATCCCGATTATTTTAAGAAAATCGATTCCAATAAGCGCAAATTTCGAGTCGGGTCCCTTATTTACGCACGTTTCGCGAGCGCGATCACGTCGCCTCTGAACCAAAACAACCACTCACGTCCGACAACCCCCGGGCCCGAAAATCCCTCGTTCGAGGAAGAACACCGGGGGGTTCATTCACGAAAGGGGGCGAAAGGGAGGTTTTGGGCTTCGGGGGGCGAAAACGAGAGGGCTGTCACGTTCCAGCAGTGACAGGTTCCGAGTGGCTTCAACCCTAACCTAAAAGTCGGTCGGTGACGCGACGCGAGCGCGCGTCGGGGGTTCGGGGCCGAAATTGACTTACTCTGTTGTTGGTCGAGTCGGTCTCCGTCCGCTGTCTTTTAGTGTGGGGCCCGTCGCCATTGAACGCCATTTTGAAACAAACAAACACTTCCAAGAACTCGCCGCTGCTACGGCACGCGCAGAACTGACAGCTTTTAGCGAAGGAGGCGGATGCGCAAAGATAGCGCACGAACGGTATCGAATCGAATCGGCGTGCTGCCACCTGGCGGCGCAGGCGGCACGTTGCTGCAGATAATTTTACTTTCCAGGAGCGGACTCAGGTGCGAGGGCTCGGACGGGCGAAATGACGCAGCGGAACGCGGGTTTCTGATGGATTTTTCTTTCAAATGACACAAGGATTTACAAAATTATAAGATATTAAAATTTGGACACATGAGAAGCCACTAAACTAATAAATTCAAAATCTCACACAAAATTTAGTGGCAAATAAAAACCTGTACTTAATTTGGCAACATTTTTAAGCTTTTGCCACTACATTTAAGTGCCAAAATAGATGACATAGGATCTACTGGATTGTGGCATCATGGTGTTAACCTAAATTGTTACCGCATCTAAATAATTGTGGCTAAACCTAAACCAACGTCTTTAATAAGTACATCTTATAATGTAATAAACATATCTACGACTTTATTTATATAATTACATTTTTTGAGCTACAAAATATGTATTCCCGCTGATAAACAAACAAAACCTGATAAACAAGCTATGTAGGTATGTACAACAAATTAAATCTACTGATAAATACTTAAATCGAAGTTTCACAATACAGTAGATTATAAAGTAGGAAAACAAATAGATATTAATACAAAATTAATGAAAATATATATTTTTTTGTATAGAGGAAACCATTCTAAGACTCATGCTGAGCTTAAATTTTTTTGTATTGGCCAGTGCTGGAAAAAAAACATGTACTATAAATATATAAATAGATCTCGAGGAGGAAAAGTATTCACGAAAAGGAATATCAGTTTAATTTTTTTAGGGTAATTACTGTTTATTCAAAAAGAAAACAACAGAGGTTCTCAAGATTCTTTGAATCCAAAAAAAAATGTGCAGAAGGGTCCTCAAGATTTTTTCAAATTCTTTCCAAAATCAAACACAAGGAGTCCCTAAGACTCTTTTAACTTCTTTATTGTTTCAAAAATTAAACGACAGGAATCACCGGGAGGAATTCTTTTAAATTCTTAAAAAGAAAGACACCTAAGACACCATTGGTCCTCAAGATTGTTTTAAATTCTCAAAAAACGATACTAGAGACCCTAAGATTGTTTTAAATTCCTTCAAAACAAAGCATTAAGAGTCCCTGAGATTCTTTTAAAATATTAAAAAAGACACTAGAAAGCCAAAGAATTTTTCATTTTTTTTAACAAAACGTCAAGGTTCCCCCACATTCTTTTAAAAAAGACACCAGGGACCTAAAAATTCTTTCGAATTTGTTCAAAACAAAGCAACACGAGTTCTCAAAATTCTTTGAAAAAAAGGACATAAGGGACCCAAAGATTTTTCCAAGTTCTTTTAAGACTTAACTTTTTAAAAAAAGTAGGGACCAATTTTTTTTTAACAGAAAACAGGAGTCTCCGGAATTCTTTTTAATTCTTAAAAAAAAAGACTAGGAAGCCCAAATTTCTTTTAATTTTTTAGAAAACAAGGCGTCAGGGATTCCCAGATTTTTTAAAATTATTCAGGAACCTAGAGATTCTTTTAAATTAGAGAAAAGACACTAGGAACTCCAAATTTTTTTTTTTTTTTAATTTTACCAGAAATAAAACACAAGAGGTCCCCAAGACTTTAAACTTTCAAATTTCTTCACAACAAAACAACAGGAGTTCCCGAGATTCTTTTAAATATTAAAAAAGATACTAGAGACTTCAAGATTTTTTCAAATTTGTTCAAAACAATTACCACGGGACTCCGGGATTCTTTTAAATTTTTAAAAAGGACACTATAGAAAGCCTAAAAAATTCCTTCAATTTTTTAGAAAACGAGGGATCAAGCACCCCCCAGATTCTTTTAATTTTTTTTAAAAAGACACTAGGACCCCCAAAAATTGCTAAGATTCATTCAAAAATAAAACACACGGGGTCCCCAAAACTCCTTTAACTTTTTAAAAAACTAGGGACCCCATAAGTTTTTCAATTATTTTTGTTTAACAAAACGGCAATAGTCTCGGGATTTTTTGAATTCTTGAAAGAAAGACACCAAGATTTTTTCTTTTTTTTTTCAAAACGAAACATCAGGAGTTCTCGAGATTCTTTTGAATTAAGTATCAAAAAAAAAAATTACAGACGTCAAAATTTTTAAAACAATCACCACGGGTCTCCAGGATTCTTTTAAAATCTTAAAAAAGACACTAGGGAGCCCAAAATTCTTTCAATTTGTTTAAAAAACAAAGCGTCAGGGATCTACATTCTTTTAATTTTTTAAAAAAGATACCAGGAACCTAAAAATTCTTTCGAAAATAGAATTATTTTTTTAATTCCTTCAAAAATAAAACACAAGGGGCCACCAAGACTCTTTTAACCTCTTTAAAAAACTAGGGACCCAATGATTCTTTCAAATTTTTTCAAAAACAAAACAACAGGAGCCCCCTACATTCTTTAAATTATTAAAAAAGGCACTTGGGATTTAGAGATTTTTTTCTTTTTTTTTTCAGAACAATCACCACGGGACTCCGGGACTCTTTTAAATTGTTAAAAAAGACACTAGGGAGCCCAAAATTATTTCAATCAATTTTTTAGAAAACAAAGCGTCAGGGATTTCCCAGATTCTTCCAATTTTTTTAACAAAACCACTAGGGACCACATTTTTTTTTCAAAAATAAAACACACGGGGTCCCTAAGACTCTCTTAACTTCTTTAAAAAACTAGGGAACCTATGATTCTTTCAATTTTTTTTTTAACAAAAAAGCTGGAATCTCCGGGGTTCTTTTAAATTCTTAAAATATTTTTTGTTGTTTCATATTTTTTCAAAATGAAACAACAGGAGTCCACGTGATTCTTTTGGATTATTGGAACAGATACTACAGTTTCCAAGTTTTTTTTTATTATTATTTTTTTTAAACAGTTACCATGGGTCTCCGAAATTCTTTCAAATTCTCAAAAACATACACTATGGACTTAAAGATTCTTCCAAATTTGTTCAAAACAAAATCCAACGGGTCCCCAGACAGCACAAAACAATAGGAGTCCAAAGATTCTTTCAATTCTTTTAAAATCAAAACGTCAAGGCTCCCCCACATTCTTTTAAGTTCTTTAAAAAAGACACCAGGGACTTAAAAATTCTTTCGAATTTGTTGAAAACAAAACTCCACGGGTCCTTAATATCATTTTAAATAAATAAAACAGGACAAGGGACCCAAGGATTTTTAAAAATTATTTTATTTAAAACAATTTCGTAGTCCCCTAGTGTTTTAATCTTGCAAGAGTCCCCTGGTGCTTTACTTTTGAAGTAATTTTAAGAAACTCGGGGACTCCTAGTGCTATTTTTTAAAGAGTTTAAAATAATTTCGGGGGTCCTAGTGTTATGTTTTAAAGGGTTTAGGAGAATCTCGGGGGGGAGGGGGGGGGCTTATATTGTTTTTCGAAGAGCCTAAAATAATCTCGGGGTCCTCTAGTGTTTTAATCTTCAAAAAGTGTGAAAGAATGTTATAATGTCCTGGTGTTTCATTCTTGAAAGAACTTTAAAAATTCTCTTGGGTCCTTGGGTATGTATTACTTTTGAAACAGTTTAAAAGAATGTCATGGTCCCTTGGCGATTTATTTTTGAAGTCATTTTAAGAATCGGACTCCCAGTGTTATGTTCTAAAGAATTTAAATGAGTCTCAGGGACTTCTAGTGTTATATTTTAAAGGGTTTAAAAGAATCTCGGGGGTTCTAGTGTCTTCTTTTTCGATAAGTTTAAAATAATCTCGTAGTCCCCTAGTGTTTTAATCTTAAAAGAATTTAAAAGAGTGTCATGGTCCCCTAGTGTTTTACTTTTGAAGTAATTTTAAGAAACTCGGGCACTCCTAGTGCTATTTTTTAAAGAGTTTAAAAAAATCTCGGGGAGTCCTAGTGTTATGTTTTAAAGAGTTTAGAAGAATCTGTTATATCTTATTTTTTGAAGAGCTTAAAATAATCTCGGGAACCTCTAGTGTTTTAATCTTCAAAGAGTGTGGAAGAATATTTTAGTCCTCTGGTGTTTCACTCTTGAAAAAATTTTAAAAATTCTCTTGGGTCCCTTAGGTATGTATTATTTTTGAAACGGTTTAAAACAATGTCAAGGTCGCCTGGCATTTAATTTTTTAAGTAATTTTAAGAATCGGACTCCCAGTGTTATGTGTTAAGGGTTTAAAAGAATCTCAAGGGTTCTAATGTCTTCTTTTTGGATAAAAAATAAAACATAAGAGGTCCCCAACAATTAAAAAAAAACTGAAAACCCTATGATTCTTTTAATTTTTTTTTAACAAACAACAGGATTCTCCGAGATCCTTTTAAATTCTTAACTGAGTGACATTAAGTGCCCTAAGGTTTTTTCAAATTTTTTAAAAACAAAACAACAGAATCCTCGAGATTCTTTTAAATTATAAAACAAAGACACTAGAGACTTCGAGACTTTTTCAATTTCTTGTAAACTTATCACCACGGGTCTCCGGGATTTTTTTCAGTTCTTAAAAAAAGACTACGGAGTCCAAAATTCTTGAAACTATTTAGAAAACAAAGCCTCAGGGATCCCCAGATTCTTTTAAATCCTCCAGGGACCTAAAGATTCTTTTAAAATAAAGAAAAGACACTAAGGGCTCCATATTTTTTTGTATTCTTTCAAAGATAAAAAACACTATAGGTCCCCAAGATTCTTTTCAATTATTAAAAAAGGCTCTAGAGACTTCAAGGTTTTTTATTTTTTTTTTTAAACATTCACAACGCGACTCCGGAGTTCTTTTAAAATCATTAAAAAAGACACTAGGGAACCCAAAAATCTTTCAATTTTTTGAGAAAACAAAACATCATGGATTAGAAAAAAGGGATTAGGGACCCCAAAAATTGTTTTAAATTGTTTCAAAAATAAGACACAAGGGGTCTCCAGGACTCTTTCAATTCTTAAAAATAGACATTAGGAGCCCTCAGGTTTTTTCAAATTTCTTCAAAACTAAACAACACGAGCCTTCGATATTCTTTCAAATTATTAAAAAAGACACTAAGGACTTCGAGATTTTTTCACATTTTTTCACAACAATCATTCTTTGAAATCCTTTAAAAAAACACTAGGGAGCCCAAAGTTCTTTCAATTTTTTAGAAAACAATTCATCTGAGACCTCCCGATTCTTTTAAATTTTATAAAAAGACCCCAAAAATTGTTTTAAATTGTTTCAAAAATAAAACACAAGGTCCCCAAGACTCTTTTAGCTTCTTTAAAAAACTAAAAACCCTATAATTCTTTCTTTTTTTTAACAAAATGACAGGGGTCTCCCGGATTCTTTTAAACTCTTACACAAAAAACATTTTTTCAATTTTTTTCAAAACGAAAGATCGGGAGTCCTCGAGATTCTTTTGAATGATTGAAAAAGACACTACAGATTTCGAAATTTTTTCAATTTTTTTTAAAACAGTTACCCCAGGTGTGCGAGATTCTTTCAAATCCTTAAAAAAAGGACACTAGGGAGACCAAAATTATTCCATTTTTTTTAAACAAAGCGTCAAGTATCCTATAGATTCTTTTAATTTTTTAAAAAAAGACACGAGCGATCTAAAGATTCTTTTTATTTAGAAAAAAGACACTACGAACCCCAAAAATTGTTTTAAATTCTTTTAAAAATAATAAGGCAAGGAGTCCCCAAGACTCTTTTAACTTCTTAAAAAAGCTAAGGACCTTATAATTCTTTTGAATTTTTTCAGAAACAAAACAGCTGGAGATGTTTTCAAAACAAGCGCCATGGGTCTGCAAAATTCTTTTAAATTCATAAAAAACACAAGGGGCCTCAAGATTCTTTCAAATTAAAAAAAACACGGGACCTCCATGATTAATTTGTTTTTCAAATTCTTAAGAAAATATACAAGGGCTTCTAAGATTTTTTCAAACTTTTTCAAAAACCAAGCACTAGAGATTCCTTTAAATAAAACAATACACTAGGAAACCGTAACATTTTTTACAGGTAAGCTCAAGAACGTTATAAAACGCATAAAATACGGGGTGTCCCATTCGAATAATGTGAGAAAATTGACAATTTGCAAATTTAATCGCACTACAGTTATAAATAAAACACTTAATTTTGTCACCAAATTTTACTACATTTTACATTTTAACTTAGAACTTAAGGTGTCATAAACATTGTCCACTCCAAAACTTGATAACGTCATTTCAAGATTTGTTAGTTTTAAATCTTATACAAAATCTAAACAATATTATGAAAGTACTTATGGTTTATCAGCGCACTCGTACTTTTCAGAATTGCTTATAACGGATGTCTAAAAAAATGAATGAAGCAATTTATTTCACCGATTAAATTAAAAACACCGTATCTCATTTTCTTGAAATTCTGGGAATACAATATTGCAACGATATGGTCACAATTTTTTCCTTTACCTGTAGTTTAATCTATTTTGATTTTAAGTTATAAGGGTTTTTATAACTTATCTAATGTAGAGAAGTAATTACGTTTTCCAATATTACGTACGTAGGTACAAAAATAACTGATATTTAATAAAGTGTACTTTCACCGAATGTGTCACCAAAGTACTTGCACCCAGACTAAAAATATTATCATCGAGTAATGACACTGCTTTTTTAGAGTCATACTTGAAGTGTTTTTTATTGACAATGGTTCTCGAGATCTGGATGTTTCCTCTATATATGTTTGTAACCATATTCAGCTTAGTGACTAGTAAAAAAATAACAATAAATTAGCACTTTCTAGCTTTGTGAAGACAATTTTTTCAACTTTGTAACACCGTCGTCGTGTTTTCTGTTCTTGTTCTGGAGTTCCTACATAATTAATTCATGTTCCTGTTCACACGAACTACTCCCTTGTAAACTTTGTCACCCCAGCAGGTGTTAACTTTGCTTCAATTTCGTAACGCATTTCGTAATAATGATAATATTCTGGACTTTTTTTACACAAAAACAACTATTTAATTGTGTTTTTAAAATCAAGAAACACTTTCTACGGCTTGAGTGACACATAATTATCGCAATTAGGTCTTGTCGTACGTGTTTCACATTTTATCATAAATTTAACGCACTAATAAAATATTTGTTTTATAAAAATCAATCTGACAGCTATTTTGTTATTTGTACAAAGAAAGAAATTTAAATAACAATGAGGTGCCACACGTCATAAAATGTCCAAAACATGACACTTCCCGTGAGCTAAACTCACCCACGTCGTTTTTCCTTTCAACAAAATTACCGTTTTGTAAAATTGTGTATGCACGAAATGTGAAAATTACAATAAAATGGCTGACAAAGTAGCAGGTAAATAACCCGAATCCTCAGACACTATTGATTTCTAACTCAACGCAGTGGAAAATTTGCAAGAATATTACAAACCTCTGAAAAAGGACGGCAGACTTTACATAGTTCTGTTCTTAACAATAATGCCAGGATTGTGTTTCATGTCTGTAAAATTACACGTTATAAAGCTCGCAGCCAAAGACACCCTCAGATGCGAAATCGAGAGCCTCGAGAACGCTTCGTGGAGCCCCCAAGACATAAAAAAAATATCAGAGCCTGTGTAGGTACGCACTACTCGTTTTAACAGTGTTGTTCTTTGACCCTTCCAGTGCGGCTAACCAAAAATGCTACATTTACAACTACGACTATCACAAATTCGCTTCGCTGACTTTGAAAGAAACGGAACAAGTGATCGATGAAGAGTTTCCAAATAGCGAAAAAATGATTTGTCCTAGATTTATAATAACTAAAAATAGTAAACTAATGCCTCAGAGTTACGCGGAAGAGGTAAGCACTCGACTCTAAATCAAATCTTTCGAAGATAAAGTGATCAGTTTGCTTCTTATTGTGAAAGTTTGCGAGACGACATTTTTTACGAGATGGGAGCTGTGATACCGTATATCTTAAGTTGTTTATTTGTTGTTCCACTTGCCGACATGTGAGGACTGTCACTTTCAACAATTACACAAATAAAATGATCGAATTTCAGATTTGGGCGAAAAAGCGTTTTGAAGATCGGGTGTCAACTGATGTTGTTTGCCGTTTTCATGAAAATAATTTTATTAAATTATATTAGAGAGACAATTGGTCTAGCGATACTGCATGTCGCTTATCCATGTCTGAAATATACAACGGAATCTTTAGGTAACGACAATAATAATAGTTTTTTTGTTACTGGAATTTCTAGTGATTGAAACAACGTCAGACAAAATTCGACCTTTCGGCTTCATGGTAAGATACATAGGAAAATATATTCCACCACTCTTCGTGGTTGTCTTGCCACGACCATCATCCATCTACTGGAAATACATGCAACTTATCAAATACAGTGTTGTGTTAGTTTTACCCTTGATGCCTTGGTAAATCTAGGACGTTTCCGGTAGCCAATTAATCACTATCTTGTGTTTAAAAGGTTCTTTCCGGAATCCGTGGCATGGTTTGCTTCCAGAAAAGAAAATAAACTAGCGCATTTCGTTGGGCAAACTTTAGAATCTCCCGCTAAACACAGCGAGGTGCTTTTTCGGCTACAAAATAGAAGACGGAGTTTTCAAGGTGTCAAGAAGCTCTTGCGGGAATTTCTACAGATAAACACACCAGAGATAGTTTTTATTAACGTGGTTGCCTTTACTGTGGGTTTTTCGTCACTTTGTGTCCACACCAGTGAGATGGAAGTGATGTGTGAAGCGAATTTACCATCAAATTGGTTTCTTCCAGAGCACAAGTTATGGTATTATAACCTGGATGTCGCTTGGGTGACATTTCTAAATATTTTTGGTGGAATCGTCGGATTTTTTCTCACTCTGTTTTTTATTTATTTCATGAATGTTGGTAAATTTGTGATAGCTGGACTGTTTCTTATTAACGGAGTTTTGTATTCGCTTTTGGCAAAATTTCAATCGGGTGAGTAAATATTGTGTTTTCTTTTGGTTAATATCTATGATTATCATTAACTTGATCTATATTCTCTTTTTTAGATTTTGAGAGTACCATAATTATAACATTCTTTTTGGACATTTCTTCGACAATTTTGCTAATTCTGTTTGAATTTTATCTTCACCGCATATTTCCGACCAGCCATAGATGTTTGTGTACCGCATGGTGTGGTGCTTGTCAAATTTTTGGGTTGCTGATGTTTCTTTGTGTCAAGGAAGTGCACGTAAGTATTTATTATTATTACTTTGTTTATTAATAAGGTGGTGAAAAAAATTATTTATTTTTCGTAGTACATTTAGTTGTTACTACCTATATTGTAATAACCAACAATATTTTAATTCCAAATTTGCCTTAGTGAGTTTATGATTTTCAAAATTTTTCCAAAAAAATGGTTAAATTGGGTTCAATCGACCGAGAATCGATGTCGAGTTAAATCAAAATAAAGTCAGTACGAAATAGTAGGTCTCCCGTTTCCGTCGGTCCGTCTGCCATCCATCCGGATTTTTATTAGACAGGTAATCTCCGAAACTATTGAACCAGTTGTCAAATTTTATATTACTACAAAAATTTATCATTTTAGACATGTTTTAAGTTTCTTGTTGTCGAAATAAGTCTACACATACTAAGAAAAAAAAGACAAAATGTAGCCCCGCCCACCCGCCCTATCTCAATTGTGATGATTTTTTTATTTGTCGTGAGCCAAGAGGGCGGAGCTTAATTGCAAAATCGTAGTTTCTCTACGAGAAATTAAAAATGTTTTCGAGTTTCGTGTTATTCAAAGAATACTATATAGATTAAGAAAAAATTAAAGCCAAAGATTAAGTCCTACCCATACCTGCCCTGATCTAAATAGTAATGAAGTTTTCATTCGTTGCCAAAACTAGGGGCAGAGCGTAATTACAAAATCCCTATTTTCCGACTTTCCAATTTTTGGCCTTTTTAAATTTTCGATTTTTCGAGTTCTCGATTTTCTCAATTAATTGACTACTCGACTTTTCGATTTCTCAATTTTTCGATTTAAATTTTCGATTTTTCAGTTTTGATTTTTTGGTTTTTCAGTTTTCCAACATTTCAGTTTTACGATTTTTGATTTTTTCAATTCGTTAATTTTTCAATTTTCACGTTTTTGTTTTTCAATTTTTCGATTTTTAAAATTTTAGTTTTTTCCACTTTTGCATTTTTCTATTTCTGGATTTTGCAATTTCTCGATTTCTCAGTTCCTCGAAGGGTCCGTTCTGGGATTTTTCAGTTTTTTTTTCGATTTTTCAATTTTTAAGTAATTAAGGTTTTCCAAGTTTTCAATTTTTCGATTTCTCGATTTTTCACTTTCGCAAAGTTTCAATTTTTCGATTTTTTAAATTTTGGATTTTTCGTTTTTTCAAATTTTCGGTGTTCTAAATGTTCGGTTTTTCAATTTTTGGCGTTTAGATCTCTGTATTTTTTACTTTTCGATTTTTTAATTGTTCAATTTTTCGATACTGCAATTTTTCGATGTTTCGATTTATCAAATTTGCGCTATTTTGGTTTCTCTATTTTTAAATTTTTTGACTTCTCGCATTTTATTTTACACTTCGAGATTTTTGAAAAAAAAAATTATATCACTTGGATTTTTCAATTTTTCGAATTTTCAGCTGTTCGATTGTTCGCTTTTTCAACTTTCGGTTTCTCAATTTTTCGATATTTAAGTTTTGGAATTTACATATTCAGTTTTATTATTGTTCAATTTTTCCATTTTTCAATTTCTCGATTTTTCAATTTGTCAATTTTTCAATATTTTGGGTTTTTGATTGTCAATTTTTCGATTCTTCAATGTCTTGATATTTCGAATTTTCGTGAGCCAAGAGGGCAGAGCTTAACTGCAAAATCCGTATTACCATTTTAAAGGTGTTTTAAAATTCTAAGAATAAAAGAGTTCATCACAATGGAGATGGGGTGGGTGGGCGGGGTTTATATTTTGCCTCTTTTCTTAATATACACAGTATTCTTTGAACAACACGATACTCAAAAACATGTTTTTAATTTATTGTAAAGAAATAAGTATTTTGCAGTTAAGCTCCGCCCTCTTGGTTCTCGGCGAATAAAAAAAAATCATCACAATCGAGATAGGGTGGGTGGGCGGGCTTACACTTTGCCTTTTTGCTTTATTATGTGTAGACTTTTTTTCACGACAAGAAACTTAAAACATGTTTAAAAAGGAAAATTTGTATAAGGAAATATCGATTTTGTAATTAGGCTCCACCCCATAATTGCAAACTCCATATTTCATTGCAAAAACGTACCATGTTCTAAGTTTCTTGTAGTGAAAAGATGGCTATGTATTTAAAAAAAAAGGGAAAATATAAGCCCCGCCCACCCACCCTATCTAAATTGTGATGATTTTTTTTATTCGTCGTAAGCCAATGGGGCCGAGCTTAACTGCAAAATCTTTGTTTCTCTAGGAGAAATTAAAAACATGCTTTTGAGTACCGTGGTATTCAAAAAATACCATGTATATTAAGAAAAAATTAAATCTAAAGATTAAGCCCCACCCATACGAGCCCTGATCTACATAGTAATGAAGTTTTCACTGGTTGACAGACCTAAGAGCGGAGCCTAATTGAAAAGTCCATATTTTTTACAATTTTTTAATTTTTCGGTTTCCAAATTTTCCAATATCTCGTCAGTTCTACGATTTCTCAATTATTCAATTTTGCGGCTTTTCAATTTTTGGCCTTTTTAAATTTTTAGTTTAAGTTCTCGATTTTTCAGTTTTTGATTTTTTGGTTTTTCAATTTTCCAATATTTCAGTTTTACGATTTTTGTTTTTTTCAGTTCCTCAATTTTTCAATTATTCAATTTTCACGTTTTTGTTTTTCAATTTTTTGATTTTTAAAATTTTAGTTTTTTCCAATTTTGCACTTTTCTATTTCTAGATTTCACAATTTTTCGACTTCTCAGTTCCTCGAAGTGTCCGTTCTGGGATTTTTCAGTTTTTTTTCGATTTTTCAATTTTTAAGTAATTAAGGTTTTCTAAGTTTTCAATTTTTCGATTTCTTGATTTTTTACTTTCGCAAAGTTTCAATTTTTCGATTTTTTAAATTTTGGATTTTTGATGTTTTCAAATTTTCGATGTTCCAAATGTTCGGTTTTTCAATTTTTTGGCGTTTAGATCTCTGTATTTTGTACTTTTCGATTTTTTAATTTTTGGATTTTGTAAATTTTAGATTTTTGATTTTTCGATTTTTCAATTGTTCAATTTTTCGATACTGCAATTTTTCGGTGTTTCGATTTATCAAATTTGTGCTATTTTGGTTTCCCTATTTTTAAATTTTTTGACTTCTCGCATTTTATTTTACACTTCGGTATTTTTGAAAAAAAAAATAAAAATGGTATCACAATTCTTGGATTTTTCAATTTTTCGAATTTTCGGCTGTTTAAGTTTTGGAATTTACATATTCAGTTTTATTATTGTTCAATTTTTCCATTTTTCAATTTCTCGATTTTTCAATTTGTCCAAAAAATCTGAAAATAAAAGTCAAAAAAATGATTATACAAAAAATTAAAAAAAATTAATAACCCCCCCCCCCAAAAAAAAACAAGAAAAAACAAAAAACTTAAAAATCCAAAATTCGAAAATTCAAAAAACCCAAAAAACTCACGAAATCGAAAAATCCAAAGAATCCTAAGAATCTAAAGAATCCCAAGAATCCAAAGAACCCAAAACCCAAAGAAACCAAAGAATTCAAAAAATCCAAGGCATCCAGACAATCCAAGGCATCCAGAGAATCCAAGGAATCCAAGAAATCCAAGGAAAATCCAAAGACTCCAAAGAATCCAAAGAATCCGAAGAATCCAAAGAATCCAAAGAATCCAAAAAATATAGAAATTCTAAAAATCCAAAAATTCCAGAAGGTCCAAAAAATCGGAAAACCCATGAAATCCGGAAGATCCTAAAAAGCGGAAAATCCAGAATATCCGGAAAATAAGGAAACTTTGGAAAATACGAAGTAACCGGAGAATCCGAATGATCCGAATAATGATCCAAAAGATCTAAAATATCCAAAAAATCAAAGAATGGAAAAAATACAAGAAACCCAAGGAAAGAATGAAAATAAAAACTGAAAAAATAATTATGCAAAAAATCAAAAAAATTTAATAACCTCCCCCAAAAAAAACTAGAAAAAAACAAAAAACTAAAAATCCAAAGTTCAAAAAATTCAAAAAACTCAAAGAACTCACGAAATCGAAAAACCCAATTCAAGAAATTCAATGAATCCAAAAAAAATCCGAAAATTTCGAAAAATCACAAAAATCTAAAGAATTCAAAGAATCAAAAGAATCCAAAGTATCCAGAGAATCCAGAGAATCCAAGAAATCCAAGGAAAATCCGAAGACTCCAAAGAATCCAAAAAATCTAGAAAATCTAATAATCCAAAAAATCCAAAAATTCCAGAAAGTCCAAAAAATCGGAAAACCCATGAAATCCGGAAGATCCTAAAAAAGCGGAAAATCCAGAATATCCGGAAAATAAGGAAACTTTGGAAAATACGAAGAAACCCGAGAATCCGAAGAATCCGATGATCCGAATAATGATCCAAAAAATCTAAAATATCCAAAAAAATCAAAGAATGGAAAAAGTACAAGAAACCCAAGGAAAGAATGAAAATAAAAACTGAAAAAATAATTATGCAAAAAATCAAAAAAATTTAATAACCTCCCCCAAAAAAAAACTAGAAAAAAACAAAAAACTAAAAATCCAAAGTTCAAAAAATTCAAAAAACCCAAAGAACTAACGAAATCGAAAAACCCAATTCAAGAAATTCAATAAATCCAAAAAAAATCCGAAAATTTCGAAAAATCACAAAAATCCAAAGAATTCAAAGAATCAAAAGAATCCAAAGTATCCAGAGAATCCAGAGAATCCAAGAAATCCAAGGAAAATCCGAAGACTCCAAAGAATCCAAAAAATCTAGAAAATCTAAAAATCCAAAAAATCCAAAAATTCCAGAAAGTCCAAAAAATCGGAAAACCCATGAAATCCGGAAGATCCTAAAAAGCGGAAAATCCAGAATATCCGGAAAATAAGGAAACTTTGGAAAATACGAAGAAACCGGAGAATCCGAATGATCCGAATAATGATCCAAAAAATCTAAATATCCAAAAAAATCAAAGAATGGAAAAAATACAAGAAACTCAAGGAAAGAATGAAAATAAAAACTGAAAAAATAATTATGCAAAAAATGAAAAAAATTTAAGAACCTCCCCAAAAAAAAAACAAGAAAAAAACAAAAAACTAAAAATACAAAGTTCAAAAAATTCAAAAAACCCAAAGAACTCACGAAATCGAAAAACCCAATTCAAGAATTTCAATAAATCCAAAAAAAATCCGAAAATTTCGAAAAATCACAAAAATCCAAAGAATTCAAAGAATCAAAAGAATCCAAAGTATCCAGAGAATCCAAGAAATCCAAGGAAAATCCGAAGACTCCAAAGAATCCAAAAAATCTAGAAAATCTAAAAATCCAAAAAATCCAAAAACTCCAGAAAGTCCAAAAAATCGGAAAACCCATGAAATCCGGAAGATCCTAAAAAGCGGAAAATCCAGATAATCCGGAAAATAAGGAAACTTTGGAAAATACGAAGAAACCGGAGCATCCGAAGAATCCGATGATCCGAATAATATTCCAAAAAATCTAAAATATCCAAAAAATCAAAAAATGGAAAAAATACAAGAAACCCAAGGAAAAGATGAAAGTAAAACTGAAAAAATAATTATGCAAAAAATCAAAAAAATGTAATAACTTCCCCCCCCCCAAAAAAAAACAAGAAAAAAACAAAAAAACTGAAAAATCCGAAGTTCAAAAAATTCAAAAAACCCAAAGAACTCACGAAATCGAAAAACCCAATTCAAGAAATTCAATAAATCCAAAAAAAATCCGAAAACTTCGAAAAATCACAAAAATCCAAAGAATTCAAAGAGTCTAAAGAATCCAAAGAATCCAGAGAATCCAAGGAATCCAAAGAATTCAAAGAATCCAAAGAATCCAGGGAATCAAAGGAATCCAAGAAATCCAAGGAAAATCCGAAGACTCCAAAGAATCTAAAGAATCCAAAAAATCTAGAAAATCTAATAATCCAAAAAATCCAAAAATTGCAGAAACTCCAAAAAACCGGAGAATCCGTGAAATCCAGATGATTCTAAAAAAGCGGAAAATCCAGAATATCCTGTAAATCAGGAAACTTTGGAAAATTTAGAAAATACGAAGAACCCGAAGAATCTGGATGATCCGAATAAAAAAATCGAAAATATCCAAAAATTAAAGAATGGAAAAAATACGAGAAACCCTTCAAGGAAAAATTAAAATAAAAACCAAAAATAGCAGTATTGATTGGCTCTAAAAATTGTAGAGAAGACAGTATATTTAATAGTTTCATATTTGAAAATGACGTTTTGACGTCATACTTCACTTTTTTTGAAGAGATGGCGCCACAAACAACACCTCATAATGATTACCTACCTAGTAATGAAATAATTTTGTAAAATTTAGTAGGATAAAATAAATAAAAACTTACAATATCTAAAATCAAAAACTGTTCCTTTTTCAGTGAAATATTTTTTAATTTTGTCATATATCAAACTAAGGAGTGTTTGATTATAATTTACATTATACATTGCAGCTTTTTTTGTATTCATTTGATGTACTTTTCTAACATTATTGTAATTTCTAGTTATTGGGAAGTCAAATTCTGGCCAGCACCATGTGTATGCTTGGTTGCATACTTACCATACTTATGGTAAAAAATTTTCCCTCCACAAAGCCCCCATTTTTAAATTTCGTTGATGCCGAGTTGGAACTAATACAGAAGCGCCGAAAAATTTGTTGTTTGGTGATTTAGACAAAAATAAAAAAATACCGCATTACAAGAGTTTTTGACCTTCTCGGAAGTTTATTTATAAAAATGACACACATAATAGTTATTAAAATTCTTAAACTTTATTAATACTGGTGGTAACAAAAAAAATCCCTTAATCATCAACAAAAATTACAGAGCAAATAAAAAATGAGTCTCTGGAAGTTTCCCTCCAAACGTTAATTTCCCAGCTTGTGGAGAATGAACCCTTCGCATCACTTCTTTGATTTCACTCACACTAATAGGAGGTTGTCCACTATACACCCTACTGTAGTCCAAATTTGTTGTACCACTAGCCCCAATCCTGTAATCCCCATTAAACATAGTTGACGTATAATAAGACCCATACAAGTGATTCAACGGATCCGCCCCACATTTACCCTCCATTCTCACCAGCAGCGCATAATCAGTAATCTCCGCCACCGTCTGATACGCCAAATACGCCAACACCACCATAGCATTCGAATGAAAATTAACCTCCTTCCTTGGATCAATCCACTGCCTCAACTTCTCCGAGTTCCGACTCGTTATATCCCTACTACAAAACGACACAGCCCTCGCTTTACAAAACTCAAGATACCTTTTTTCGTCCAGCGCCTGCGAAATTCTATCAGCTCGCAACAAGCGCGACTGCTTCACCTCATCAACTTCCGAAAAATCCGTAAATTCGCCCGTCTCGTCGATGTACTCTATAAACTTCATGAGCTCGCCTTTAGGCTTAGGGTCTTTGTCCACTTCAATAACGCTCGAATTCATCGACTGCAAACTCGCTTTAAGTTGTTTATTTTTCAAGTACTGGACGAAGCGCCGCATTTTGTGCTTGTCGTGCCGCATCAAAAACACCAGTTCTTTGCCTTTGAGGTTTTTGTTGTCGGAGTATTTGAGGGCTTCTTGGACAATGGTTCGCAGCTGCTTCAGCACGATACTTTCGACCAGACGCACGGTTTCGGGGTTGGGCTTGTGGCTGTCGCCGAAACCGAACATCATTAAGGAGATTTCGTTACAGAAGGTGACTTTTTGAGATTCCATGTTTTGAAAAATAATAAAAATTAACCTCTAAAAACACATAACCTCAAAAACGTACAAACTGGATTATGCACCAATCAGAACGTTGGTTGTTTGATTCTGATTGGGTAGTTGTGAGTAGGATTGCCAACGAAGCGACGGATGCGATAGAATTCCCTAGTGGGTGCAGTCAGTGATTGAGTAAGCTTGGTTCGGGTTTCAAGATTTGAAATTAGTTTATAAAAGGGTTAAAAAGGAGGGATTAAAATGGTTGTAATTGCGACATTCAAGCCCCCAGAGTCGCCAGTTCGGTTGGAACAGAGAAATATTACGGTTCGTTTGGATAAAAGGAGTCTTGGGACGGGAACTTTGTTTGTCAGCGAAAAGTATGTTTTGGCTGAAAAAAAGACAATGTTTTGAGAATATTTGGTTGCAGGACACTCAGTTGGCAAAAGGATGGAAGTACAGGTTTTTCGTTGGAGTATTACAATGTTTCTCTGCATGCTGTGTCTAAAGACCCAAATGTGTGTGATAAAGAATGTATTTACATTTTGACTGACCCTCATATTGATCTGCCTGGTATGTGGAATGTTTGCCTATGGTTTGAATGACGTAGTGTTGTAGGGGGAAGTCCTCCACAAAGACACATTGATGACGATGACAGTGGTGCTGAATCAGAACCAGATTTATCTGAGCTGATTTTAATTCCTGAGGATTCTTTATCAATTCAGGGTATTTATGAAGCTATAAAGCAGTGCCAGGAGTTGAATCCTGATCCAGCTGACGTGGATGACGACGACGACGAGAATTTGTACGAAGATGCAGAAGAAGAGAATGAAGAAATGTATATAGAGGCAGAATCTGAACACATAGGGGATGCTGGTAATATCGTCCGTCGTTACACATTACACACACATTAAATTGTTGTTTCAGATGTAAATAGCTTAGCCAACAGGTTACAAAATCACTCAGTGGATGTCCAATACAATTACCGCAACGGTAACGAAGACGAAGATTTTGAAGACGCAGATTAACTTAAAATGTGACCTACCTTAAGTTTTGTATGTTTGTAATTTTAATTCCTATTTAATTAAACAATCAAAAACGAAATTTTTATTTAACAAATTCACAAATCAATAACAGTTAAAACCAGCGTTGCGTAGAATGAAACAAAATAAAACCTATTCATTGTTCCTTCATCTCCTTCACTGATTCGCTAAAAGATACTTCCATTTATCTATTTCTGAAAAAATCATCCTGAACTTCTTTGCCCTTAACATTGTAACCTCTTCACATTATCTCCTCCTTTTACCTAACTCTTTTAGGACCGAAAATTAAGTCTGCATCTGGAGCCCCCTTGGGGTGTTGGTACTTTTTCCGCTCGCGGTTCAAGTTCTGGGTGACCGGTCTGTTCTGCTGCTGCATCATATCCTGGTAGTCTTCCTCCTCGAACCGTTCGGTTATATTCAGCGTCAAGCGCTTCACTCGCTCCTTCTCTTCCTTCTGCGCCAGCTCCTGGTCTCTCAAGTTTTGAGCAAGTTCTGAGTTAATATCAGCTTCGAAGTTTTTGTATTGCAGTTTGTTGCCTTTCCGCACCATTAGAACGAATCCGATTTTGTTGCGCTCCGTTTCGGGGGTGTCTTGGAGTTGTTCGTAGGTTTTTTTGTTGGATTTGAGGACCACGGGGACCGATATGTCGACGTTTCCGGCTTTTACGGGTTCGCGCATGCGCTCTTGGATGTTCTCGGAGACCATCTTGTCGAGGGCGTTTCGGAAATCTTCGTCTTCGGGACACTCGACTTTGCGGGGGCCGCTGGGGATGGCTAAAGACTCGGATACTTGTTCTTGTTCGGCTTCACTAGTCTCGGGTTCACCTATAATTTCAAAAAAATTATTTTGTTAATTAGTGTTGTTATATTTACCTTCGTCGTCGGAGCCTTGGGTGTGGTCCACAGTTTCGTCTTCCGTCGCTGTATCATCAGTAATTGGCGCGGTCACACCTTCAGACACTTCGTCTTCTCCCTGTTCTTCGGTGTCGGTTTCTGCAATAGTTTCCAGACCGTCTTCGTCGATTTTATTTTCGCTTAATTCGCCTGTTAGTTTATCTGAAATAATTTATATAGTCGATACAAACGACTCGTTGGGTTAAGTCGTAAATCACACCTATCCCCAATGTCACTCTGATGTTGTTCAACTCGGTTTGCGTTTCCTCGAAACTCTGACACAGTTTGATTTTGGGTCTTAGACTCGTGAGGGTGTCCTTAAATATGTGTTCCAATGTAGGTGGAAAAGCGTCTTTCCACAAGTCGCGCTTAAACCAATAGTAAGCTTGTAAAAACACCAAATAGTAGTCAAGTCTCCTTTTACTACTTCCACTACTGAAGTATGTTCCTACATATACAAGTTGTGTAAACACGTTTTGACAGTAATGAATACAATACCGCATGTTTCAAGTAGAACGCAGGCCAGTCTAATTCGGAAAAGGTGGTTGGGCGGATCCAGTGGTGATGGTACGTTTGGGTCCATTGAAACTCCAAAGGTTATAAGTGAGTAAAGCACCTGTTGTAGAAATTGGTCAGAAAAAGAGTTGGGTTATGGTGACACATACTTTAAAAATGTCGGCACTCTCGACCATTCTGTAGTTGTATAATTCACCTAAGTATTTGACTTGAGCCACGCGTCTTTGGTTGAATTTAGGAAGGTTGACTTCCATGCCGAGACGGATGTCTTCTAGGACGCTGTCCACTACTCGTGTTCCCACTTCTTCTTGGTAGGTTACTAAACCGGCGAGTAAGTTCGCAAGGCATCTGAGACATAAAAAAATTGTTCTTGCCAAATCGTACTTAAATCGACATTTTCTGTCAGATGTTCAACCCGTGCTAAACTACACTCAATAATCAAAAAATATCAAAACTTAAATTTCTTTCAATCTTGTTACATATACAGTGGTGATTTTCTTATCATCACGAATCTGTGCTAATGTTTGCTGATCCACCACTAACTGAGAAAAACGGGGATTTATCAGAGGGATTCATTTTCAGCAAAATTTTAAAACTGTGCAAATCGGTCCAGACAATTGCCCAAATCGTCTCGGAGAGACGCAGATCTTCACGAAAATTTTCTCAGGATCATGAATTCTTGCTTATTTTTCCTGCACGTTCATAAATAACTGAGAAAAACACGGATTCATCCCGGCGCATCCACCATTTTTAACGAAATTTTAAAACTAGGCAAATCGGCCTGAACAGATTGAAAATTTCCTCAGGATCGCGAATCTGTGCTTATTTTTGTTGCACGTTCATAAATAATTCAGAAAAAAGCGCTAATCAATTTTTTTATTCGCCGAGAGACGTAACTTAATTGCAAAGTTTATATTTCTCTACAAGAAATTACCAAGTTTTAAGTATCGTGTTGTTGAAAGAAAACTATATGTTAAGAAAACGAAGCCCTAAATTATGCCCCGCCCACCCGCCCAGATCTCAATTGTGATGAATTTTTTATTCGTTGTGAGACCCCAAGGGGCGGAGCTTAATGGCAAAGTCCATATTTTCTGTACAAGAAATGACATTTGTGCGTAGTAAAAAGCAGTGACATATCGGTTTAGTAAAATGGTACATTAACGCACTAGTTTTAAAGGAAAATCATGTTGTTACTGTAACTTCAATGTTAGATCGTCGGAAAAACATGTTTAAAATGGTAAATTTTGTATCGATTTTGTAATTAGCTTCCGCCTCTCGGTCTGACAACCAATGAAAAATTCATCACGACTGAGCTTGGGGCTTAATTTATGGCTTGTTTTTTTGTTAATATACATGGTATTCTTTGATACTTTGATACGATACTTAAAAACATGTTTTTTATTTCTTGTAAAAAAATAAGAATTTTGCAATTAAGCTTAATTAAGCTTGGCTAACGACGAATAAAAAAATCATCACAATTGAGACAGGGCGGGTGGGCGGGGCTTACACTTCGCCTTTTTTTCTTAATGTGTGTAGCCATATTTCCACAACAAGAAACTTAAAACATGTTTAAAATGGTAAATTTGTAAAGGGAAATATCGATTTTGCAATTACGCTCCGCCCCTCGGTTTGACAACGAATGAAAAATTCATCACGATTGATATCGGGACGGATGGGTGGGGATTCTCTTTTGGTTTTATTTGTATAACATGATTACTTAAGAACATATTTCACATGGTAATTTCTCAAAGAAAAATAAGGATTCTACATTTAAGCTCCGCCCCTCTCGGCTTAAGACGAATAAAAAAAGTCATCAGAATTGAGATAGGGTGGGTGGGTGGGGCTTATATTTTGCCTGTTTGTTTCTTAATATACATAGCCACTTTTTCACAACAAGAAAGGTAGAACATGGTTAAAATGGTACAAGGAAATATGGAATTTGCAATTATGGGGCGGAGCCTACTTGCAAAATCAATATTTCCTTATATAAATTTTTCATTTTAAACATGTTTTCAGTTTCATCGTGTGAAAAGAAGTCTACACAATTTAAAAGAAAAAGACAAAATGTAAGCCCGCCCACCCACCCTATCTCGATTGTGATGATTTTTTTTATTCGCCGTGAACCAAGAGGGCGGAGCTTAACTGCAAAGTACTTATTTCTTTACAAGAAATTAAAAACATGATTTTGTTTAAAGAATACCATGTGTATTAAGAAAACAGGAAAAATATATAATAATATACATAGTATTCTTTGAACAACACGATACTCAAAAACATGTTTTTCTACCTTGATGTTCTAATAGCACCCAAATGACGTCAAAGCGGTTCGTTAATAGCGGAAAGGGGTTCTGAAATAGATCTGGTGTAATTTAGATCGATAAGGTTGACAGCCATGACGGAAATGTCAGGTGAATGTCAGTGGGAAACGTCAAATTAAAATGTCCCGTATTTCTGGAGGCGTAAAGACTTCACTAACTTCTTCAGAAGACATTTTAACCAATTTTAACTTAAAAAACTCGTCAGACCAACCCATCACCAACCACGACAAAATTCCCCAGATTTAAAAAAACTCAAATTTCAATTATATTTTGCGAAAAAACGTGCACGGTAGTAAAAATAGTATAAATAACTCGTTCATAAGGCCATTATGGCACTTGGATTCGTGCCTTAATATTTGCCTTATGAATCTCGTTCTTTCATATACTATTTTAATTTCTCGTAGAAAAATAAGGATTTTGCAGTTAAGCTCCGCCTTCTTGGCTCACGACGAATAAAAAAATTCATCACAATTGAGTTAGGGCGGGTGGACGGGGCTTGATTTTGCCTTTTTTTTTTTCTTAATGTGTGCAGACTTCTTTCAACAACAAGAAACTTAAAACATGCCTAAAATGGTAAATTTTTGTAGCAATCAACTTAAATCCTCCACTTTTCTTCTACCACCCCTTTAAGGCTTGCGTCTGGTTCGGTTTAGCCCTATACTAAATACATTGAAAACATCGTCGCGGTTTCCGGAGTTGCATTTTAAAAATATGAGATATATCGCTTTAAAAAAATTATATTTCGAATTAACAAACTTCAGTCCACGGGACCTCCATATTTATTTTCATATCTAGTATGCAGTTTTTACAAAAAAAAATTATAAAATTGTTCAACTTTTACATCACATTTTAACCGGCACATTGATGCATTTTTTGACGAAGTGCTGAAGTTTTTTGCATTCTGAGATAGGAGGTCCCCTGGGGAAAAGTGTCAGCTTTCTTTTGATACCATTTATAATATTAAAAAATCCACGACTGAGGTAACTAACTCGCGAAAAGTCAAAATCTATTAAAACGAGAAATCGGCATTAAACGAGCTGTGATGTGGTAGCAGAATACAGGTTTACTTAGATTCTGACTTGGTTGGAGATTTCAGTATTTTAAAAATGCAATTCCGGAAACTACGACGATGTTTTCAATGTATTTAGTATTGGGCGAAACCGAACCAGACGCCACCCTTAAATACGGCAAAGTTACTATCAACGGCAACTTGGCAACGGTGTTAATAAATGACAATTTTCAGCTCTAAAAGCAACGTCAGCAGGAAGAGCAACTCCAACGGGAACCTTAAGTTTATAAATCCCACTTAAATAGGTAGATATGGAAACTGATGACGCAACTGGACATAATTCTAACCTCAAATTCACCACTTGATATTTTATTTTATTTTATTATTGAAAAAGAACTGTACTTTATGAAAAAAAAAAAAAACTTAAATGATAAGCCCCACCCACTCGCCGCCACCTCAACCATGACCTCTTTTTTTATTCGTCGTGTGACGAGAGGCGGAGCTTAATTGAAGGTTTCTTTACTAGAAATTACCAAGTGAAAAACGTGTTGTTGAAAGAAAACTATATACATTAAGAAAAAAAAACCAAATACTTGCCCCATCCACCCGCCCCAATATAAATTGTGATGAAATTTTTATTCGTTGTGAGACCACGGGGCGGAGCTTAATTGAAAAGTCCATATTTCTGTACAAGAAATTACCAAGTGAAAGAAACATATTTGTGATTTTATCGTATTGCTGAAAATGTATTTTTTTAATAGACTATTTTGAGAAAAAGTTGAGGATGAATATTCTTATTCTTCTTTCAAAAATAAGGAAATATCCAAAGAAGATAAAAAACTATACAAAAATAAAACGTTTAGTAAGCACAACTTGACTTTCCTGTAAATTCGTGGTGTAAAGAGGTACATCTGGAAACTGATGACGCAGCTAGACATAATTCTAACCTCAAAGTCCCCATTTGATATTTTACGTAATTCATTGTTGAAAAAAGACTGTATTTTACAAAAAGAAAGTCAAAGGATAAGCCCCACCCAGCTGCCCCCTTCTCAAATAAAAAAAATAACCAGAATTGAGATAGGGCGAGTGGGCGGGGCTTATATTTTGGCTTTTTTTTCTTAATACACATAGGCATCTTTTCACTACAACAAACTTAGAACATGGTTAAAATGGTACATGTCTGCAAGGAAATATCGATTTGCAATTAACGGGCGGAGTCTAATTGCAAAATCGATATTTCCTTATACAACTTTTCCATTTTAAACATGTTTTGAGTTTCATGTTGTGAAAAGAAGTCTACACAATTTAAAACAAAAAGACAAAATGTAAGCCCGCCCACCCACCCTATCTCAATTGTGATGATTTTTTTTATTCGCCGTGAATCAAGCGGGCGGAGCTTAACTGCAAAATACTTACTTCTTTACATGAAATTAAAAACAAGTTTTTGTTCAAAGAATACTAAGTACATTACGAAAACAAAAACAAAATATAATAATAAACATAGTCATCTTTGAACAACACGATACTCAAAAACATGTTTTTAATCCCCCGTAGAGAAATAATGATTTTGCAGTTAAGTTCCGCCTTCTTGGCTCACGACGAATAAGAAAAAATCATCACAATTGAGACAGGGCGGGTGGGCGGGGCTACATTTTGCCTTGTTTTTCTTAATATGTGTAGACTTATTTCAAGAAACATGCCTAAAATGGTAAATTTTTGTAGTAATCAAAAAAAAATCCTCCACTTTTCTTCCACAATCCCTTTAAATACGGCAAAAGTTGAACATCAAAGTTACTATCAACGGCAACTTGGCAACGGAGTTAATAAATGACAATTTTCAGCTCTAAAAGCAACATCAGCAGGACAGCAACTGCAACGGGAACTTCAACGTCAACGGCAAGTTTGTAAATCTGATGACGCAGTTGGACATAATTCTAACCTCAAATTCATCGCATGATATTTTGAGTATTTTATTGTTGAAAGAAGACTGTATTTTACGAAAAAAAAGTTGAAGGATAAGCCCCACCCACTCGCCGCTATCTCAACTACGACTATTTTTTTTTATTCGTCGTGTGAGAAGAAGCTGAGTTTAATTGAAGGTTTCTTTACAGGAAATTACCATGAAAAATGTTTTCAGTTCCGTGTTGTTGAAAGAAAACTATATACATTAAGAAAAAGAAGCCAACTAGTACGTCCCACCCACCCGCCCCAATCTCAATTGTGACGAATTTTTTATTCGTTGTGAGACCAAGGGGCGGAGCTTAATTGCAAAGTCCATTTTCTGTACAAGAAATTACCAAGTGAAAGAAACATATTTGTGGTAACTATCGTATTACTGAAAATATATTTTTTAATAGATTATTGTTAGAAAAAGTAGGGACAGAATATTCTTATTCTCCCAAAAGTATGGAAATATCCACAGACGATAAAAAAAGCGATAAAAAATAAAACGTTTACTAATTACGACTTTACTTTTTTGTAAATATGTGGTGTAAATAGGTAGATCTGGAAACTTTGATGACGCAGATAGATATAACTCTAACTTCAAATTCACCACTCGATATTTTAAGTATTTTATTGTTGAAACAAAACTGTATTTTAGGAAAAAAAAGTCAAAGGATAAGCCTCACCCACTCACGGCCATCTCAACTGTGATCATTTTTTCATACGTCGTGTTAGGAAAGGCGGAGCTTAATTGAAGGTTTCTTTACAAGAAATTACCAAGTGAAAAATGTTTTAAGTTGCGTGTTGTTGACAGAAAGGTATGTATAGTAAGAAAAAGAAGCCAAATACTATGCCCCACCCACCCGCTCCAAACTCAATCGTGATGAATTTTTTATTCGTTGTGAGACGAGGAGGCGGAGCTTAATTGCAAAGTCCATATTTCTGTACAAGAAATTACCCAGTGAAAGAAACATGTTTGTGGTAATTATCGTATTGTTGAAAATATTTTTTTTTAATAGATTATTCTGAGAAAAAATAGAGAAAAAATATCCTTGTTCTCTAAAAAAATAAGGAAATATCCGCAGAAGTTAAAAAAAAAACGATAAAAAATAAAACGTTTATTAATCACAACTTGAATTTTCTGGTAGACCTGGAAACTCTGATGACGCAGATGGATATAACTCTAACTTCAAATTCACCGCTCCATATTTTAAGTATTTTATTGTTGAAACAAAACTGTATTTTAGGAAAAAAAAAGTCAAAAGATAAGCCCCACCCACTCACGGCCATCTCAACTGTGATCATTTTTTCATACGTCGTGTTAGGAAAGGAGGAGCTTAATTGAAGGTTTCTTTACAAGAAATTACCAAGTGAAAAATGTTTTAAGTTGCGTGTTGTTGAAAGAAAGCTATGTATAGTAAGAAAAAGAAGCCAAATACTATGCCCCACCCACACGCCCCAAACTCAATCGTGATGAATTTTTTATTCGTTGTGAGACGAGGAGGCGGAGCTTAATTGCAAAGTCCATATTTCTGTACAAGAAATTACCCAGTGAAAGAAACATGTTTGTGGTAATTATCGTATTGTTGAAAATATTTTTTTAATAGACTATTCTGAGAAAAAGTAGAGAAAAAATATTCTTGTTCTCTAAAAAATAAGGAAATATCCGCAGAAGTTAAAAAAAACGATAAAAAATAAAACATTTAATAATCACAACTTGAGTTTTCTGGTAGACCTGGAAACTCTGAGACGCAGATGGATATAACTCTAACTTCAAATTCACCACTTGATATTTTAAGTATTTTATTGTTGAAACAAAACTGTATTTTAGGAAAAAAAAAGTCAAAGGATAAGCCCCACCCACTCACGGCCATCTCAACTGTGATCATTTTTTATACGTCGTGTGAGGAAAGGCGGAGCTTAATTGAAGGTTTCTTTACAAGAAATTACCAAGTGAAAAATGTTTTAAGTTGCGTGTTGTTGAAAGAAAGTTATGTATAGTAAGAAAAAGAAGCCAAATACTATGCCCCACCCACACGCCTCAAACTCAATCGTGATGAATTTTTTATTCGTTGTGAGACGAGGAGGCGGAGCTTAATTGCAAAAGTCCATATTTCTGTACAAGAAATTACCAAGTGAAATATGTTTGAGGTATTATTGTATTGTTGAAAACAGACTACTTCGAGGAAAAGTTGAGAATGAATATTCTCATTCTACCAAAAATAAAAGGATGATTCTCTCAAAAATAAGGAAATATCTAAAGAAGATAAAAAAACACTATACAAAAATAAAATTAGTTTAGTATTCGCAACTTGACTTTTTTTTAAATTTGTAGCATAAATCGGTATTTCTGGCAGCTCCGGTGACACAGTTGGACATAATTCTAACCTCAAGTTCCCCATTTGATATTTTAAAGTATTTCATTGTTGAAAGAAGAGTGTATTTTACGAAAAAAAGTCAAATGATAAGCCCCACCCAGCCGCCCTCATCTCAATTGTGAAGAATTTTTTTATTCGTCGTATGACAAGAGGCGGAGCTTAATTGCCAAGTTTTATGTGTGTCGTTGAAAGAAAACTATACACATTACGAAAAAGAAGCCGAAGATTATACCCCGCCCACCCACCCCGTTTTTAATTGTAATGAATTTTTCATTCGTTGTGCGACCAGAGGGCGGAGATTATTTCCAAAGTCTATATTTCTGTACAAGAAACTACCAAGTGAAACATGTTGGAGGTATTATCGTATTGTTGAAAATAGAGAAAAAGTATTAAATGAATATTCTTATTCTCTCAAAAGTAAAAGGAGGTATTCAAAGAACAAAAACAAAACTACAGAAAAATAAAACATTTAGTAAAATATTCACAACTTGACTTTTCTGTAAATTTGTGGCATAAATCGGTAAATCTGGCAACTCTGGTAATCCAGCTGGACATAATTCTAACCTCAAATTCACCATTTGATATTTTAATTACTTTATTTTTGTAAGAAGACTATATGTATATTACGAAAAGAATATCGAAGGATAAGCCCCACCCACCCGCCTCCACCTCAATTGTGATGATTTTTTTTTATTCGTAGTTAGTCGCGGGGGCGGAGCTTAACTGAAAAATCCTTATAAGCTATAAACAAACAGTCCCCAAGTAGGTCATGAAGTTTTAAATAAAATAATGATGTTGGCATCCCAGTTATTTGTCCGCAAAGTCACTAATTTAGGGACTTTCGTTTGACTGTAACTGTCAAGTCCAACAAGAACCTCGTTGGTGTTACCAACATAATTTTTTAACCTTAAATTTCAATGGTTGCTAAACGAATTTTCGTTCGAAAAACAATTAAATTTAATTTAACTATTTTTAAAAACCCAGGAAAAATGATACCAAAGTAACAAATATTTTTTTGATATCATAAAAAACTCACCTTATGTTGAAATACTTGACGTTATGAGCACTACTCAGACACTTGATAGCATACGACGACACCTCCTCGTTGCTCCAATCCAGCTTCCTAATCAACCTCATAATCTTATCAGTGTTATTCTTCTGCAAATCTTGAAACAGCAACTTCCTTATAAACTGGTGCATCACCGGCCTCTCCTTCTTCGTGATCGTCACATCCGGCGGATTCACATAATAATACGCATTCTCGATCTGCGTAACGTACCTCGAATCCAGCGCCATCACCGCCTTCTTCCGCATCATCTGCTCCAAGTACACTCTCGTCCTCTGGTGCGAGTCCGGGCTGCAATACAAGAACCGCCCGCAAACCTCCAGCAAATTGCACGCCATCTCGATATGGTGGTGCGAGAAGTCGTACAACAGCACCTTCAAGCAGTACAGCGCCTCGATCTTCGAGTACAGCTTGAACTTCACCAGCTCGCCGATGAAGCGCACGACCTTGATCTTCGACTCGATGTTGATCTGGTCCTTCTTGCGCACGTGGTACTTGAAGTCCTGGCGGAGCATCTGGCAGAGCTCGTTGCCGACCTCCGGAAGCGCGGGACGGAGGATGGCGACGAAGCGGGCGTAGAAGGGCAGGAGGTCGAGGCGGGTGCGGTTCACGCCGAAGAGGGCGCGCACGAGCTTCTTGCGGTTGTGCTTGTTGTTGAGGGTGACGAGGAAGTCGATGGCGGCGTTGTCGATCATCTCGCGGTTCACGCAGTTGGGGAGGTTGTTGAGGAAGGCCTCGAGGACGATCTTGTTGCTGGCGTTGGTGGTGGCGGCGTCCTCGGCGTCGTCTTCGGCGGGGACGGGGGCCTCGTCGATTTGTTCTGTGTAATTAAACAGAACTAAGGAAGTATCCTAATCGAGTGTGTTTTCCCGACATTTCATGACCCCTACAGTACGAAAAAATAGGTCTCCCGTTTCCGTTTGTCTGTCTGTTTGCCGTCTGTCCGGATTTTTATTAGACAGATAATCTTCGAAACTGGACCGATTTAAATTTTGTATGTATATTAGGACTATCATGTAGTTGGTAAAACGTCAAACACCCTACACCTCCAGATTTTTGAAAAAAAAATCAAAATTGTACAATATGTTTTTCTTTTGAAGTTAGTTTTTTAGAAACATGTGAAATATCGTCATTAATTTATGTTTTAGGTTTTATTTGAAAGTACATGCATTTCTTACAGAAGTTGACTCACCAACAATGTATTTATTGTTCTTTTACAGCCTTGAAAAGGCCTATGGTCAATAGACGAAACGTCGGCAAAATATCGGTCTTATTTTTGATACACATTATTCTGGATAACAAAGAAAAGTTAAGCCTTAATGGACGAAAAACAAGTCTTCGAAAGTTACAATTTTTCGAAAAATCTGGATTTATTTACCTTCAACCAATTTTTTTGTTTTTTTCTTTTTTTTTCATTTTTCAATTTTTCGATTTTTCAATTATTCGGTTTCATAATTTTTCGTTTCATCAAGCTTAATTTTTTTAATTTTTCAATGTTTCTTTCGATTTTACAATTTTTGGTTTATTCGATTCTTCAAATTTTGCAATTTTGGATTTCTCAAATATCCGCTTTTCTTATTTCTTTTCAATATTTTGATTTTACAATATTTCCTTTTTTTGATTTTGCACTTTTTCGATTTGTACGTGTCTCAATTTTTGATCTTTCGATTTTTCAATTTTTTGTTTCTTCGAGTTCTTGCTTTCCAATTTTTATATTTATCAAAGTCTTTGTTTTACATTTTTTGGTTTTGTTATTTCTGATTTTTCAGTTTTACAATTCAGCATTTTATGATCCGAAATCTTAAAAAATCGAAAAATTAATTTTTGAAAAATTAAAAAATCGAAAAGAAATTGAAAAACCGAAAAACTGAAAAACGAAAAATTTCAAAATCGAAAATTTTTCGTTTTTACATTTTCTTTACTTTTTTTTCGTTTCTTCAATTTTTTCATTTGCAATTTTTCGATATTATAATTTCAGTTCTCGATTTTTCAATTTCTCAATTTTTATTTTTCATTTTCCAGATTTTTTTATTCTTATTTACTCGATTGTATATCACAATTTTTACATTTTCTTTACATTTTAATTTTTCCACTTTTTAATGTTTCGGTTTCATAATTTTTCGTTTTTTCAACTTTAATTTTTCAATTTTTCGACTTCCAAATTTCCCAATTTTTCGTTTCTTCAATTTTTTCATTTGCAATTTTTCGATATTATAATTTCAGTTCTCGATTTTTCAATTTCTCAATTTTATTTTTCATTTTCCAGATTTTTTAATTCTTATTTACTCGATTGTATATCACAATTTTTCATTTTTTTTATTTCCTCTATTTTTTTTTCAATGTTTCTTTCGATATTATAATTTTTAGTTTATTCTATTCTTCATATGTTCTATCTTTGATTTTCCAATTTTGAAATTTTGGATTTCTCAATTATCCGATTTTCTGATTTCTTACCAATATTTGGTTTTATATTACCTTTTTTCGATTTTTAAGTGTCTCAATTTTTGATCTTTCGATTTTTGAATTTTTTTATTCTTCCAGTTGTATCTTATACCTTTTGGTTTTTCATTTTTGATTTTTCAATTTTACAATTTTTCCATTTTTTAATCCGAAATGTTGAATAGTCGAAAAATTAAAAATTGCAAAACTAAAAAATGGGAAAAAATTGGAAAATCAAAAAATTTTCATTTTTTCATTACCTTTATTTTTTCAATGTTTCTTTCGACATTATAATGTTTCGTTTATATAATTTGTTAAATTTTTAATCTTTGATTTTCCAGTTCCTCGATTTTCCAATTTTTAAATTTCTAAAGTTTGCATTTTTTGGATTTCTGGATAATCCGATCTTCTGATTTCTTTAATTTTCACATTTCGATTTTACAGTTTTTCGATTTTTAAGTTTTTCAATTTTTAATCTTTCGATTTTTCAATTATTTGTTTCTTTGTTTTTCAACGTTGAATAGTCGAAAAATAAAAATTGAAAAATTAAAAAATGAGAAAAAATTGAAAAATCGAACAACTGAATAAACCGAAAGTTGGAAAATCTACAAATTTTCGTTTTTCCATTTTCTTTAGTTTTTCAACAATATTTCGGATTCAAATTTTTTGTTGTTTCATTTTTAATTTTGTCAATTTTTCGACTTCCAAATTTTTAAATGTTTCATTTCTTCAGTTTTTTGATTTGCAATTTTTCAATTTTTCAATTTTTCGTTTCCTTATTTTTTTTATTTTCATTTTTCAGATTTTTTAATTTTCATTTACTCGATTTTTTATCACAATTTTCTATTTTTTTTTCTTTATTTTTTTTTTAATGTTTGTTTGGACTTTATGTTTCGTTTATAGAATTTTTAAAATCTTTAATCTTTGATTTTTCAATTCCTCGATTTTTCAATTTTTAAATTTCTGGATTATCCGATTTTCTAATTTTTTTAATTTTCACATTTCGATTTTACAATATGCATTTCCGTTTTTCGATTTTGCCGTTTTTCAATTTTTAAGTTTTTTCATTTTTAATCTTTCGATTTTTCAATTATTTGTTTCTGCATATTTGAAGTTCTTGATTTCCAGTTTTTAGATTTATCAAAGTTGCATTTTATACTTTTTGGTTTTTCATTTTTAATTTTTCAATTTTACAATTTTTACATTTTTTGATCCGAAATGTTGAATAGTCGAAAAATTAAAAATTGAAAAACCAAAAAAAATGGGAAAAAATTGCAAAATCGAAAAATTTTCGTTTTTTCATTTTCTTTAATTGTTCAGTTTTTCCATTTTTCAATATCTCGGTTTCATAATTCTAAAAAATTGGGACAAATTGAAAAATCGAAAAACTGAATAAACAAAAATTTGCAAAATCAAAAAATTTTCGTTTTTCACTTTCTTTAATTCTTCAATTGTTCCACTTTTTAATTTTACAATTGTACCATTTTTTGATCCAAAATGTTGAAAAATCGAAAAATTAAAAATTGAAAAATGAAAAAATTGGGACAAATTGAAAAATCGAAAAAGTCGAAATTCGGGAAATTGCAAAATTGAAGAAACGAAAATCGAGACTTCGGAAACATTAAAAATTGAGAAACTTAAAAATCGAAAAAATTAATGAACCGAAAAAATTACAAGAAAAAAAAGCGTCAAAAATTGTCAAACTGAAAAATTATGGAATTGTCAAAACTGAAAAATCTAAAAACTGAAAAAAATCGAAAAATTGTGGTTTTTTCGTTTTTCTTTAATTTTTGAATTTTTCCATTTTTCAATGTCTCCTCCGTTTAATAATTTTAAACTTTTACTTCTTCCATTTTTGATTTTTCAATTTTACAATTGTACCATTTTTTTGATCCGAAATGTTGAAAAATCGAAAAATTAATAATTGATAAACTAAAAAATCGGGACAAATTAAAAAATCAAAAAAATGGAAATTCGAAAAATTGCAAATCGAAAAACTGAAGAAACGAAAACCGAAATACTGAAAAACTAAAAACGAAAAAGTTAATAAATCGAAAAAACGGTAAGAAGAAAAAACGTAAAAAAATATCAAATTGAAAAATTTAAGGAATTGTCAAAATTGTAAAGTCGAAAAAGTCCAACATCGAGAGGTGGAAAAATTGAAAAATCGAATAAATGAAAACCAATAACTGAAAAATGGAAAAATTCCAAAATTATGAAATTGAAAAAATAGGGAAAATAAAAAACGGAAACGAAAAACTGCAAATCGAAAAACTGAAAAATCTAAAAATAGAAAATTGTTGAAATTACAAATCTAAAAATTGGAACATCCAGAAGTTGGAAAATTCGAAAATTGAAAAATTTTAAAATGAAAATTCGAAGAGATGCATATTGTAAAATTGAAGAGACAAAAAAAAATAAAAATTGAAGATTATAAATCAAAAATGAAAGAATAAAAGAATCAATAAAAAACTGAAACCAAAAATTACAACTTGAAAATTTGAAGAAATAAAAAATTAAGCAATAAAAAAATTTGAAAAATTAGTAATTGAAAACTCGAGAAATGTTTAATAAGTGAAAAATTGCCACATCTAAAATTTAAAGAAACAAAAAAAATGAAAAATCGAAAAATCACAAATCGAAAAAATGAAGAAACGAAAAATTAAAAAAAAATTAAAAAACAAAAAGTTATAAAAATGAAAAATCGAAAATCGAATAATTGAAAAAATCAAGAAAATAAAAAATCGAAGCGAAAATTTGCAAATCGAAAAATTGCAAAATCTATAAAATGAAACATTTCAAAAGTTGGAAAATGGGAAAACTGAAAAATTTAAAAATGAAAACTCGAAGGGAGGCAAATCGTAAAATGGTAAAAATGAAGAAAATAAAAAACTGAAATGAAAAATTGCATGTCGAAAATTTGAAGAAATAAAAATTCAACAATGAAAAAATTGAAAAATTAAAAATTGAAAATTCGAGAATTTAAAAAAGTGAAAAATTACCACATATAAAATTTGAAGAAACAAAAAAAAAAGAAAAATTGAAAAATCACAAATCGAAAAATTGAAGAAACGAAAAATGAAAAAACAAAAAGTTATAAAAACGAAACATTGAAAAACCGAATAATTGAAAAAATAAAGAAAATAAAAAATCGAAGCAAAAAATTGCAAAATGTAAAAGTTAAAACATCTAAAAGTTGGAAAATCAGAAAACTGAGGAGACAAAAAAAATAAAAAATTGAAGAATTACAAATCGACAAATTGTAAAAATGAAGAAAATACAAAACTGAAACGAAAAATAAAATTGTAAATCGAATATTTGAAGAAATAAAAAATTGAACATTGTAAAAATTGAAAAATTAGAAATTGAAAACTCGAGAAATGTTTAAAAAGTGAAAAATTGCCACATCCAAAATTTAAAGAAACAAAAAAAAATGGAAAATTGAAAAATCACAAATCGAAAAATTGAAACGAAAAATGAAAAAACAAAAAGTTGTAAAAACGAAACATTGAAAAATCGAATAATTGAAAAAATAAAGGACATAAAAAATTGCAAAACTCGAAGAAATACAAATCGTAAAATTGAAGACAAAAAAATGAAAAGTTGAAACATTGCAAATCGAAACATTGTAAAAATGGAAAAAATAAAAAAGTGAAATCAAAATTTGAAGAAATAAAAAATTAAACAATGAAGAAATGAGAAAAATTAAAAATTGAAAACTCGAGGAATTGCAAACCGAAAAATCGAAGAAACAAAAAAAAGAGAAAGAAAAATTGAAAAATTCGAATGCGGGGGTGTTATTTATGTCACTGGTTCTTACTTTATGGAAATTATCAGAAAACAAAAATTGCAATTTTTTTTTTATATTTCAAAGAAGCAGAATTGAAAGGGCTGCGCTTCAAGGGCAAGGGAAATTCAGTCGAAATAACCTTCAACCAATTTTTTCACCCCAACTCACCATCATCCTCCAGCTCCTCAGTAGGAATTTCTGAATCTAAAACCTCCTCAGTTACAGATTCCGCCGGTGGCGGCGCTTGCTTATTAATAAAAGAAGTAGGAAGAAAAGCCTGCAGCTCCGGCAATTCACAATAAAACCGCTGCGTCTCAATATCGCACCAAACATTTTCAATATTAGCCAACGCATTCTCATCTAAATCCGGCCCTGCCCCTGTGACAATCATGCTCTAAAAACACACAAATTAACAAATTTGCGACCTCAAACGAAACCACCACCTCGTCACTTTTCAGGATAGTTTGACTTTTCAAAGTTGGCATATCCTCATCTAAAATTTCCGCAAAACTTTGCGTAGAAGTATACAGTTTTTCATAGGCAGACTGCAGTGACTCCAGCTTCTCTTTTCTCTCTTGACTCAACTCCCCTTTGGTCTGAAGTATTCTCATGTTCTGCTTTTCAAAGTTTTGGATTTCTTGGTGGTCTTTAACGAGGTGTTTACTCAGAGACACGTAATAGTCCTTGAGCAGAGTTCGCACGTTTTGTTGTTTTTCAGGGGGTAAAAACGTGCTTTTGGGGATGGGGGTTGCGAATTTTTCAGACAATTCGCGCATTTTCCGCGGAATAAGACCTTGAATTATAGTTATGATTATCAAAATTCCACAATGGGGTAATTTGTACTCACCTGCGTAATCTTCGCCACAGTGCTTACAAAAACTTAATATTATTGAGCAGTTGTAGTGTTCATCCTTATCCATATTCACCAAAGTCGTGATTACATTCCCCAACAACGTAAAGGCGTTTTTATTACTAAACAACCCCGCTTGCACCAACTCGGCGTAAAACCGCAAATCCACCCTTAATTTACTAGGGTTCGGAATCTTCTCCCCTACCTTAAAAGCCAACGTTTTCTGCCAGTTCTCGAACAAATGCTGTGAAAAATCAGCATACGTTTGATGCAAAATACTGCACATCTTCAAAGCCGCCGCGACATCCGTCATCTTCAGCTTAGCGTCCACAATCGCCGCCGCTATTTCTGATATGTACTTAGACAGATTCAAACCTGCCATATCTTTCAAGTAAGCTTCGACCTGGTTTGCGGTAAAGTTTTTAATTTTTTTAACAAAGGCAGTGTTTTTCTTGAGGCTGGAGTCCAGCTTGCTGAAGTGGGACTCGCTGGGTCGGGTGTTTGGGGCATTCTGGTTCGCGGTTCGCAGCTCATGTTTTGAGTGGAGTCTCTCTTCGACTTCTTGGATGTAAGAGGTTATGTTATTTTTTTCGTCTTCGTTGGCCGTTGCGGCGCTATTTTCGTCCTTCTCACCGTCGTGTTCTGAGGACTCCGTTACGGTCATTTTCAGCACGATTACGCCCTTTTATGGTAAATAGGGTTTATTGCAAAATTATTATTGACGAAACGAAAACAATGACAGCAGTGAGAAATGAAAAGTTACTAACGGGGGGCGGAAGGTTTATATTTAAGGGGCAAAGCGACGGATCCACGCTGCTAAAAAATGGTGTTTCTTTATAAGATGAATGTATTTGTACGGAAAATACAGAAAAGAAATGTAGTAGAACGAAAATAATTATATTATCAAGTTACAGATTTCTATCTCAAATGTCATATGACATTTTTTAAATTACTGTTCACCACCACATTTCACTTGTATTGTAATTAAAGTGATGATTAAAGCCACAAAAAAAAGACAGACAGACAGAAGGAAACGGGAAACCCATTTTTTTCGTACTCTAAGGGTCATGAAACGTTGCAAAAACATGAAAGTAGCCAGTCGTCCGATCGACTTGATTACAATACTTCCTTGACTTAAGTAATAAAAGGGGATGCAAAAAGAAACAAAAAATGCGCCAAAAATAAGTATTAAAAACAAGCACCAAAAAAGATAAAAAAATGGGCGACAAAGAAAAAACTACAAAAATTCGTCTAGGAAGATGACAAAGAAACTACAAAAAAGGGTGACTAAAAATTACTTCCACAAAGGTGCCAAGAAAATTGTGACAAAAAACAAAAAAAAGGGCACAAAAGGCGCCGAAAAAAAAAATAGAAAAAAGTAAGAGGTGACTAAAGAAAAACGAAAAAGGTGATGTGAAAGGGTGCCAAAAAAATGAACAAAAAAAGGGCTTTTACTCTTTGTCCCTTAACAGAACAAAGGCTACAGAAAGACTAGAACCAAAAAAGCAATTAAAAAAAACGACAAAATAAATGAGAAAAAAATGCGACAAAAAATACGACAAAGAAAAAGGTGCCAAAAAAGTGCCATGTATAGATCTAAAAAAACGTCGGCGAAAAAAAAAGTCGAACAAAAAAATGCGTAAAAAAAGACAAAAAATGGAGAAAAAAAAAGTATGATCGAAAAAAAGCAATATAAGGATAGGGTGTCAAAGAAAATGAACTAAAAAGGTGACAAATCAACTAAACAATAAGAAAGGACAAAAAAGGGTGGCGGAACAAAATTCCATAAAAAAGGGCACCAATAAAACAATATTAAAAATGAAACAAAGGCAAACGTGCAAAAAGAGAACCAAAAAGTTACAAAAAAACAAAAGCAAAAAAAATATCTATCAATTGACGGAATAAAATGTGACAAAAAAACTCGGTAAAAAACAAGGCAATATAAAAAAAAAAAGAAATAGCTAAAAAAAGGTACAAAAAATGTGATATCAAATGTGATTAAAAAATGCGACAAAAAAACGGAAAAGAAAAAAGTGCCAGAAAAGTTATAAAAAAGGGTGATAAAAACACCACAAAGAATTAAAAAAACAATTACTAAAAAAGGGCGACAAAACTGTATTCGGAAAAGAAACCTATTAAAAGCGACAAAAATGGCCAGAAAAGCAATATAAATAAGGCGACAAAAGAAAGTCGAAAAGAGACCAAAGAAGCGGCAAAAATGCGACTAAAAAACGACAAAAATGAAGACCACAAAAAACGGACAGAAACAATGTCCAAAAAAAAATACAGAAAAAATAAATGAAAAAAAGAGATGGCAAATAACATCTAACCAAAAAAAAAGTCAATAAAAACACCACAAAGAATTAAAAAAACAATTACTAAAAAAGGGCGACAAAACTGTATTCGGAAAAGAAACCTATTAAAAGCGACAAAAATGGCCAGAAAAGCAATATAAATAAGGCGACAAAAGAAAGTCGAAAAGAGACCAAAGAAGCGGCAAAAATGCGACTAAAAAACGACAAAAATGAAGACCACAAAAAACGGACAGAAACAATGTCCAAAAAAAAATACAGAAAAAATAAATGAAAAAAAGAGATGGCAAATAACATCTAACCAAAAAAAAAGTCATTTCACATCAATATAAAAAAGGGACAAAAAAGTGTCAAACAAGGGTCCAAACAAATAAAAAAAGGGTAACAAAAAAGTGGGGCAAAAAAAAGAGCGGCGAAAGCAAGCGAATAAAAACAACTAAAAAAATACGACAAAAAAAGAGTGATTGAAAAAAAATGCGAAAATAAAAGGCGATATGAGAAAAGGGGGCCAAAAAAAAGAATAAAAAAAAGGTGACGAAAACAAAAACAAAAAGATGACAAAAAAGGGTAAAAAAACTCGTTGAAAAAAAAACAGTAAGAAAAGGGACAAAAAAATGGTGGCGGAACAAACATTAAAAAGGAGACTAAGACAAATGTACAAGAAAACGGTCAAAAAAGTAACGAAAAAAGCGATTAAAAAACAACAAAAAAGGGACGAAATATGCTACAAAAAAAAAAAACGACAAAAAAAAGCAACCAAAAAAATTACAAAAGAAAAGACACAAAATAAGAAGGGAAACGACAAAAAAAGGAAGGGAAGAGGAAAAATACTCAGCCAGCAAGACTGGAAAAGGGCGACGAAAAACTATAAAAAAGACGACAAAAATGGAAAAACGGGAACCGAAAAAATCTACAAAAAAAAAACAAAAGCAAAGGAGAGTCTCCTATCCATTGGCGAAACAAAAGGTAACAAAAAAACTTGGATGAAAACAAGGTAATATAAAAGAAAAAGGAAGAACAAGCAGAGAAAAACACAAAAAAGGAGATATAAAATGGAATAAAAAATATAACAAAAAACGACAAAGACAAAGTGCGGAAAAAGTGCCATATATAGTCCAAAAAAAAAAACAAAAAAAAAAAAAGGTCGGCGGAGAAAGTCGAAAAAAATGCGTAAAAAAAGCTGACAAAAAAACAAGACAAAAAGGATGACAGAAAAAAACGATATAAGGAAATGGGGGGTCAAAGAATATGAACAAAAAAGGTGAGAAAAGACTAAAACAAAAAGGCGACAAAAATGAGAAGGAAAAAAATGCACCGAAAAAAATACAGAAGGGACAAAAAAGGGCACCAAAAAAACAATATAAAGAATGAACCAAAGGCAAACGTGCAAAAAAAGAACCAAAAAAAGTCTCCTATCCATTGTTGGAACAAAATGTGACTAAAACTCAGATAAAAACAAGGCAATAGAACAAAAAACGAAAAACGACCCAAAAAAAAAACTACTAAAAAAGTGATATAAAATGTGATTAAAAATGCGACAAAATAAAAACGGAAAAGAAAAAATGCCAAAAAAGTTATAAAAAAGGGTGATAAAAACACCACAAAGGATAAAAAAAAATTACTGAAAAAGAGCGACAAATTCGACAAACTACAAAAAAGAAGACCACAAAAAAGCGACAAAAACAGTGTCCAAAAAAATACAGAAAAAATAAATGAAAAAAAAAGATGACATACAACATCTAACCAAAAATAGTCAATATAAAAAAGAGACAAAAAGTGTCAAACAAGGGTCCAAAAAAACAAAAAAGGGACCAAAAAAAAAAAGACCGGTGAAAGCAAGCGAATAAAAACTACTAAAAAATAAGATAAAAAAAGAATGATTGAAAAAAAGTGCGAAAATAAAATAAAAGCCGATATAAGAAAAGAGGGCCAAAAAAAGAACAAAAAAGGTGACAAAACAAAAACAAAGAGACGACAAAAAAAGGATAAAAAACCCGTTGAAAAAGAAAAGAGTAAGAAAAGGGACAAGAAAATGGTGGCGGAACAAACATTAAAAAGGAGACAAAGACAAATGCACAAGAAAACGATCAAAATAGTAACAAAAAAGCGATTAAAAAACAATAAAAAAGGGAGGAAATATGCTACAAAAAAAAACGACAAAAAAACAACAACAAAAAATCAGAAGAAAAGACAAAAAAAAGGAAGGGAAGAGGAAAAATACGCAGCAAACAAAGACTGGAAAAGGGCGACAAAAAACTATAAAAAAGACGACAAAAAAGCGATAAAAATGGAAAAATGGTAACTGAAAAACATTAAAAAAAAAACAAAGGCCGTCGGTTGGCCGAACAAAATGTAACAAAAAACCTCGGATGAAAACAAGGCAATATAAAAGAAAAATCAAGAACAATGAGTCGAAAAAGCTACAAAAGGGTGATATAAAATGTGAATAAAAAATGCGACAAAAAACGACAAAGTAAAAGTGCTAAAATACTGGTCAAAAAAAGTCGAAAAAAATGCGTAAAAAAAAGATGACAAAAAAAGGAGACAAAAATGGATGACAGAAAAAAAGCGATATAAGGAATGAATTGATTCCCCTCAAAGAAAATAAACAAAAAAGGTGAGAAAAGACTAAAACAAAAAGGCGACAAAAATGAGAAGAAAAAAATGCACCGAAAAAAGTGCAATAAGAAATGAAAAAAAAGGGTGGCGGAACACCAGTGCCACAAAAAAGGGCACCAAAAAAGTTGCAAAAAACAAAAGCAAAAAAAGAGTATTCTATCCATTGGCGGAACAAAATGTTATAAAAAAACTCGAATAAAACAAGGAAATATAAAAAAAGAACGAAAAACACGAGCAAAAAAATCTACAAAAAAAAGATACAAAATGTGATTAAAAATGCGGTAAAAAACGGAAGAGAAAATGTGCAAAAAAGCTAAAAAAGGGTGATAAAAACACCCCAAAGGATTAAAAAAACGATTAAAAAAAGGAACGAAAAAATATGTAATATTCGACAAAAAAAAAACGATTAAAAACAACAAAGAATGACCAGAAAAGCAATATAAATAAGGAGACACAAAAAAAGAAAAAAAAACTATTAAAAACAACATAAAAAAGACGAAATATGCAACAAAAAAAAAAACAAAAATCGACAAAAAAATTGGTGGAAAATACAATAAAACAATTCCAGCTCTTTCGAAAACATGTAAAATTTGATTATGCGAAGTTTATTTTATTATTTTTTTGAAAATCCTTATAATACACACACCAAGCACTTGTTTTAACAAGTGTTTGGTGTATGTTTCAAATGAGTTTTTCCTTACTAAAATTTTGTGATGACGTCATCAATTTTTTGGGAAGGGATAAACGAATAAATTTTGGTTAATGCTTTAACATGATTACGACAAGCTTAAAATATTTATAGG